CCCCCCTCGTGCTCCCCCTTCCCCCGTGCTCCAGCCCTGCGCTGCCCCGAGCTCACTGGCCCCTCTGCACCTCACGCCTCCTGCCTTAGACCTGGCGCTCTGTCTCTGCTTCTCTGCTCAAGGGGCTCACAGGGCACAGAACGAACTCAAGGTGTAATTGCTGCTGCTTCAGAGGTGTGACTGCCGCAAGCAGACAGATGGGCTGGTCTCCAGGGAGATGTGGGTGGCAGTAGCGTTTTATAAGTGTCCGGAGCCACTGAGCTTGGGCTCGCTCCCATGAACAGCATGTGCTTCCAGACCCGCCTTCAGAGGGGCTGAGGCTGCCTCCTGGCTCGCTCTGATGGCCGGCCCTGGGGACAGGCACGGGTCGTCGTGAGTGGCCCAAGCAGCCCTATGGCGGGTATGCAGGAGGAGCTGAGGCCTCCGGCAGAGGCACCACGGTCCACACGACAGCAACAAAGCATCGCAATAGAGTGAGTCGCACCGATTGCTTGGCCGCCAGCGCATTTAAGTCGCGTTTGCGCCGTGCTGCGGGCTCGTCAGTGCAGCAGGGTCGTGTCTGAAGAACAAGGCACGAACCTTCCTTAAAAGCCTGGAGTGCTGACTGTCATCTGAGCCGTCAGCGCGTCCATGTTTTGTGTCTCCAGGGTGCAGTAAAGTGAGGCCACCTGCGATTCTGGGAGAACTTGTTTGCAACAATGTCACCAACACAGTGTCATCAGGGAAGGTGACAGGATGCAGGTGGCATTTGGGTTGTTCAGGCAGAGAGAGGAGCGGACGTGGGCTGAGCCCTTTGGGGCCAGACATGCAAGGACCCTGACCAGGGAAGCCAGTGTGTAGTGGGCGGGCCAGTCAGCCATTCACCCTGGGGCCGCCTCGGGCAGTGATGGCTGAGTTCTGAATGACAGCCGGACGGACCACTCAGAGCTCTGTGTCACGAGGCTGAATGCGACCTGGGTGTCAGGAGCAGAGAGGCTTGGGGAGGTGCCGGAAACTCACTGAAGGCCAAGGCTGGAGCTGGGAGGGCAGCGGGGGGACCTCAGGGAGGTGGTGCCCTGGCTGCAGAGCGGCTCTGGGCCCCTCACCTGCACGGCCCAGCGTTTAGCTGTGCGGGCCCGTGGTGGGTGCTGGAGGATGGTGCCGCCAGGACTGAGCGGAGGCACCCTCGGCCAGGGACCCTAGCCATGGCCCTGCCATGCCTTGGACCCCGCCTGCCCCCTTTGCTCACACTCACCCGTGCTGTCTGTGTGGCAGACACTGGTGCTGGCCTACTGTGTGCCAGGCTCCGGGTTCAGTGCTGGGGGCCAGATGGGGCCAGGACCTGGTGGGCTTGGGGTGTTGCCTCTGTTCGGAGCTCATGGGAGGGGTGCTCTTGCTTACTATGTGGCAGCTGTCAGGAGAGGGGGCTGAGGCTGGGACCCCCAGTCCCGCTGAAGGTCGCAGCTCTACCCAGCCTGAAACCTGAGGCTGGGGCAGGTGGGTTCCACACCCAGAGGCCCGGTGGGGCTTCTATCTGAGGACCAAGTGACTCAGGCAAGGGAGTGACAACTTAGGTCTAGGAAGCCACTTGTCCTGGCCTCTTTCATCGTGTGTCCTGTGAGTCACACATGTGCCTTTCCTGCCTGACCCTCCACAGAGCCCTGGGCTGGGGTCTGGGCCATCCTGTCCCACTGTGCTGTGCTTGGCCCAGGGCGCCAGGATGGGAGGAAGGGGCAGTGGTGACAGGTGGACGGAGCTTTCAATGGGAGGGGAGGCCTAGAGGGAGCTGGCTTTCTGAGTCCTGGGAGTGCCATCCTACAGCAGGTGTGCACGTGCCGTCTGTGCCTGGGCTGGGTGTGCGTGGGAGCCACGGGGAGACTCCAAGCTGGCGCTGTGACATAGGTGAGACGTGTGACCTGGTCAGGGCGCAGATTTCCTGCCTGGGCCCTCAGCCCCCTTCCAGTTCCGAATCATGGCTCTGCAGCAGGGAAGGGGTGGCGGGGGCGGGGGGTGGAGAGACATTGTCCCGACCTCACTGGCCGGCCTGCTGGGCCTCATCGTCTAGGGGGAGAGTCAGGGTTCCTGGGGCCACAGCCACCGTTTTGGGTGCCTGGGGAGGTGATAGCTGGGAGTGTCGGTCTAGAGCCAGCACTGCCCTGGCCTCGTGACCCGGGAGAGGCGCCCAGTCTCTCGGAGCCTCCGCGAGGAGAAGACGCAAGCCGAGGGCCTTGCCCCGCTGGGCACCTGCACGTG